CAGTTACACGGTACAGCTATGGGGTTTCCAGTTTCTGTTGTTGTAGCAGAAATTCACAAACCTATCACATACAATGTATCTATTATTTTTTCTCTTCTGAGATTTTAGTGCAAATTGGAGAAATGAGAGCTAGGGGAAGACTCACCTGTAACTAGAAGCTATCAATGAGAGGTATCTTAGGGCCAGTGGCTGTGTCATGAACACTCCTCCAGGTTCTGGGTCATGAATGGGGAGAGTGAAACATGTGCAATCAAAAACCAGTTATTGCCAGAGGAAACACAGCCCCACCTCATCCAAATTGTGGTGACTCTTTTCTTTTCGCTTGCGTCAACTGAGAGCCGGAGACAGGCAAATTGTACTTAAAATCTTATGTGCGCTCGTGCATTGTATCTTCTAAACAAGAATTCGACAGAATATCTCGAATCATACTCGCAATTGATGTTCGTTTTTTTCAGTGTAATTTACCTCAAATGTATGGGTGTGGCACACGGCCCTTACGAGGCCATTGGGGAGAGTGAACGACATTGCAAACATTCAATATCTAATTAACCATCCACCAAATGAGACAGCCTCAACGGCTAGAAATCTGGTGCTCCCTCTTTCCTCATTTTCGTTGTTTTTCTGCACACATTGCTTTTAACATTACCAATCCTAGCTGACTGCATAGCGATTGTCAGATATAAAACCTTTACTTTTTGTAACCCTTTATGGGTGGGGTGGAGGAAGGGGTTGCTAGCAGAATGCACTGCTCACACTACTCTTCCTTGTTACAGATAGTTTTAAGATAGAGAAAGTTTCCATTTACTTCCTTTCCCCTCCTGATTATTGACGATATGTACTTACTGTGAATTGTGAACGAGTACCGTAATTTCCGTCCATTTACCCGCGCAGCAGATTACCCACATCGGTCAATTTTGCAATAACGAGGAAAGAATTTCAACAGATTACCCACACTAGCAGATAACCCCCACCCAGAAACAATCGAAAATCGTCGATTCACACAAAGTTCCTTTATTGTTCTTGTTGACATGATATCCTTTAGCATGCAATTAATAAATTTTCACACTTTTTGTCTTCGCCGTTTCATTGAGAATGATACCACTTGTAAAAATCTGTTCTCACAAAAAAATCGATGTCTCGAGATCTGAGTCGAAGAAATCGCTCGAAACGGGAAAATATTCTTTAACTCAAGGTAGTGCTAGCTGAGAAAATTTCACTTATGCGAAGGAAATTCTGTCGCGTCATTAATTATACGGCGCCACGAAATGAACATGTCACCATCATTTTCCGTGTGATTCGCTCCGAAGCCAGCTTTTTCACAATTAAATTCTTTTATTTTCAAGTTCACTTCCCGTGTTAGTGAGAATTGCTTTTTGTAATTAACAAAGAAACAAGCTGTGAAATTGACAAGGTAAGAAAGTAAGAGTACAAACAAGATAAAAGATTTGTCATCGAGTTTTGTATGTTTTCGATTTACATCGGCTTTCATCGAGAGCATTAAACTCTCTTATTAGAACGAGCAATCTACGCGAAGTAAATGAGTTATTACACAGGTTTCTTGAAGAGTATCTTTAGTGGATCTTATCATCTTTGTTTTTTTCCTGCTTATAGATTTAAAACTACACCGGAAGCTTTAAAAATTATCGTATTACCCGCACCTTCCTATAACCCGCACCAACACTGTTTGTGGAAAAATTAACAGATTACCCGCGGGTAATCGACCGGAAATTAGGTGGCAAACAGGAAGAAAAGAAAAATAAAACTTTCTATTACTTGCACACTCTAAGAAATTTAACTATAGATAACTTCATATTTACAATTACATTTTATCTAATTGAACATGTATTTTTGAGGTAATTCTAAATCTATTGGAAAAAGTCCTGTAAAAGCTCCAGTGATTTGAAGGTTAGGCTTGCACAGGGTTAACCACACTTTATGGTCACAAAATGACAAAAAACACGGTTACTGGTGGAATAGCTCGTTTTAAGTTCATATTTGGAAAAGCATCACATAGAGACATCTTCTCATACATTTTAGGAAAGCCGCTCATTTTACAAATTAAAATAACATTTTTCCCGCGTCTACTAAACAGCGGAAAGCTCGCTAGTGTATGATGTTACGAAGAAACAACCCTTCGCTTGCCATCTAACTATTCATATGTGTCGGGAAGGACACTCCAAATATGACATTTGCTTTACTTCAATAGATTAGTATGTCAGTCAGTGCTAAATCTTTCATGTACAACTACTTTTCTTTGCAAGGAAATAAAAAGCAAACACTCAAAAATCATCAGCTCCAGTGATACAAAATAGTGCGACGATTAGACCGAGACCTACGCATATTGTAGAGTGCACACAAGAAACCATGAATTTTATTGGCACCTGTCTCATGAATTCTGTTGTTTCTCAGGTCTAAAAAGATTAACGTATTATTAGTTTGCAGAGTTTCCACAAACTCAGCTGCTCCTGAATCATCAATGAGATTGTACCGCAAATTCAAATGACTCAAGGTGGGATTTGTTCTCAGTGTTCTTGCAAGAGCTTCTGCGCCAGAAGAGTCAATCATGTTCCCACACAAATCTACGTGAGTGAGAGCACTATTCCACTGAAGACTTTCTGCAAGTACAGTTGCAAAATGAGTTCCTATGAAGGTGAATCTCATGTCCAAATGTGTTAGCACAGAGTTCAGTCGTAACCCTTGTGCAAAAGATGCTGCTTGGGCTCCACTCTCGATGAGACTGTTCGATCTTAGATCTAAATTTATAAGCCCACGGTTAACCTGAACAGCGTGCCCGAGGGTGGCAACTCCAACACCTTCGATTCTGTTTCCTCTCAAACAAAGGTGTGTTAGGGTGCAGTTTGATTTAAGTGATTGGCCAATTGCTGCTGCTCCTGCGTTGCCGATCCTATGGTTCTGGAGATTTAAACGTGCAAGCACAGAATTTGAACGAAGAGTTTCCGCAAATGCTGCTGCTCCTGCGTCGCCAATTCTTTTTCTTTTATAGTCTAGACCTCTTAGCGAATAAAACAGTTCCATAGGATTGAATCCAGGAAAATCCCCATGTTCTAAATCCAAATAAGTCAGGGTACGGTTGGACTCCAAAGCCTTCGCAAGGGCAACAGCGCCTTGGTCGCCAATCTCGTTATAGCTGAGATCTAAATACTTTAGTGCACAGCTAGACTGCAAAGCTTGAGCAAGATCCTCAGCTCCACAGTTGTCAATACCATTTCCGTTTAAGTTTAAGTGAGTCAAAGTAAGATTTGATAGAAGGGCTTTTGCAATTTCACTTGCTCCAGGACTGCGGATAGTACGACACCGCAAATTGATGTGCGTTAGAGTGCAGTTTGAACGAAGAGCTCGTGCAAGTATTGCGGTTAGATGAGCATGCTTGTTTCTTGTATTCCAAAACATGCCCTCAGACGAAATAGACATTAAATCTAAAATTTTTAGTGCGCAGTTAGACTGGAGAACATGTCCAATTGCTTCCTGTAATGCCTCGGTACAGGCATGATGCCAAGAAAAGAGAGTCAATGTAGAATTACATTTTAGGTACTCAAAGAGAGTCGGCATATTTCTGGGCATACCCGAGCAATCAATAAAAGTGACTAGTTTGTGTATTGGAAAGGACACAGCTAAAGTTTGGACCATTTTCTTCTGAGCATCAGTCAGTTCATTGTCACCACCGTCAGATTTTGAAATGAGATTCAAAACAGAATCCAAAGTTTCAGCTCTCGTCCTTTCATCTTCAGTTAACGGCCAGCGGAATAACTGATTAATACTAGGAAAAACATTCAAAAAGTCGTCACAGATGTTGAAGTCGCAGTCATTGTCAACATAATTGTCAAAATCATCGTCGCTTTCTTCCTCATCCTCCTCTTCAATTGGCTGACTTCGGAGAGCATCACACAAACCTGAAATAACCAAAACTGCGCCATCTTCACTCTTGCTTACCACCATTGTCAAGAGAAACTTCCATAGTTGCCAGTACTTGAAGACAGGATTAAGGTGAGCTAACTGAGCCAAAGCTGTGTCTTTATCACCCGAAAGAATCTCCTGGGCCAAGTGATATGCAGCAAAATATTCTTGAAAGGTCTTGTGTGTGAAGGAGAAACAAGGAATGGGTCTGAGTTTGCTGACACTAGCTTCCTGGGAAAGAAAGCACAGGGGAAGGAAATCGACAGACTGACAATCCATCTCATCTTTGCTGAAATACATTCGGTCGACCTTCAGGGCTTCAAAGGCCACCTTTCCTAAATGATTCAGGTTATCTGAAAAAGTTTGAAGGGGATCCTTTGAGTCCATGGGAATACCTTTCCTTGCAAAATATCTTCTAACAGCGCACGACACAAGTTGATCATACAGTTTGGTTTGATTTGAAGGAAATACTCCTTTTGTATCTTCACAAAGCAGACACAACAAGGCTGTGTTCAGTGGATTTGAACTCAACTCCCTGAGCTGTTTTTCACGATCTAATCTTTTAATCAATTTGGCAGCAAGGCTCGGGTCCTCATGATTACTAAAATATTTCGTAATGTAACTGTCGGCATCCTCCTTAGTGAAGCCAACAATCTCGAGAAGTGTGTCACAGTGGCGTCGGACTCTCATGCCTGCCTCATGACGAGCTGTTAACATGAGGTAAGTATTAGAAAATATTTTTCTTTGAATCAAGGGAAAGAGGCCTTTTAAGAGATTCTCCGGTAATTCGTCCAGTCCGTCAAGAACCAATAAGATTTTGGATTGGTTGCAGCGAATAAAATGAAAGAAGTTTTCTTTTTCCTTCTTGTCAGCATCAAGTGGCAACAGTTGGTCGTCAATAGCTTCTTCGATGTCAGCAGTCTTCATGTCACGACACTTCAACAGAAGTAGCATCTTCACTTGAGGAAAACAGGCCTCGGCTGATATGTACTCCACAGACCAATCATATGCAAGCTTCTGACAATAAGTGGTTTTTCCCATCCCAGGTTGCCCCTCAATCAGCACAACTCTTGGTTCCTCGCATTCTTCATGTGGCATGAATGCATCTGTCATTTGGACAACTTTATCTGTCAGCCTTGCTCGTTCTTTCTCTTTGCTGAATATCTGTAGTCTTGTAAAGATCTTGGACAATTTCAGCTGCAGATCATCTTCACACCATGGGAATGGACACAGTACAGCACCTTTACCTTTGTAATTTCGTCTGATGATATCTGCCAGTTGCTTAGGAAAGACTGAGAACAAAACAAAAGAAAACAAACAAACAAACAAACAAACAAATTAATCAACCTTAATTAAAACATATAGCAGCTACTGTGATTTCTAATATTCCATTACTATTTTTAGTGGGTAGAAATCTGTCACCTTGCACAATAAACTCACAAAAAGAGCCATCAACATAGGCTACACTAGACCCAGAGAATTGCAAATGGAACCCATGAGAAACATGGATATGGAAAGTGTATTCAAAGAAGCTAAAATTGAGACAGCTAAAACAGAGCAAGGCAAAAGGGATCAGGGTCTCCTTCAATAATAGCCTGATTTGATTTCAGCATATAAGCATGGAATCTCAACAGTTGACTTTAAATAAGTGAAACATTCTTATTTTATGTAGTCTACAATAGTTATCATGTAGTCTGTCTGTATTTATAATAATCATAATTTTGCCAACCCAAAAAATTTATTGAAATAGGAAAATAAGGTTACAACCAGAAATTTAATGTTTTATTGAACACAACAGGATGATTCCATAGCAACAAAATTCTATTCATCCCTTAGATATTATCTGGCTAAAAAGTGCTTAAACTGGTTGATGGGAATCATCATTGTACATGCAAAAAACTAACCAGGTGTCTCAATGGGAATTTCTAGACATGACATCGTTAAGTCTGATCCTTTGGAAGTTATCAGGTCCTCCATTTTTTCTGTATTTGACAAGAAAATAATTCAGTTTCTATTCATCAGAGTGCAACATTTAACAAGTCACCCAGAGAATCAAAAGTTTTTATCAAACCATAATTTAGTTGCGACATCTTCTCAAGAATAACTGTTTGTGACTCCACAATTCATATTAGCATTCTCAACACGGTATGTTGCCAGGACTTGTAGAATTAATTGCAATTAGCTCCTTCATATGAACTATCCATAACACAAACATTCGATACATTCAAGAGGACCAAAATTTGGTCTGAAAAAACCCTAAATTTTAAGATTAGCCTTTTCTATGAAGTGTTAAAGGAACTGGTCATTCACACTGAAACAATCCTTGGGGACTTGTCCCATCTTGAATACATGCTAGTTGTACTAGAAGCTCACAAAACGAATCACCTGAATTGAATCAATGAACAAAATCACCTACAATCAAAGAAAAGTCATGTATTATGAAGTTTTTGTTTCATTCATAACAATCAATAACCTTGCAGACGATGCACTCTGTCTTCAACAACATTCACTCTCTCCTCAACAAGAACATTGACTCTATCTTTGCTTTGCTGGATGTTTTCAAGCTTCTCCAATCTCTTGTGTACATGTCCTACAACAAGAATGTGTCATGTCAAAATATCAGGGAAACAGAGCAGAAGACTTCTTTAAAACATGAAATCTTTACATATTGCCATTCAACAGTTATTGTTATTGCACTTGTAGGGCAGTTTAAAAGTGTATTCATGGGTATTCATGGTACAATCATTTATCAATAATTTTTTTTGAAAGGATGCTAATTGATATGTTGATCAACAAGCCAACTGAATTTACATTGGTCAGTTTATGTGTGTCCAATTTTAATCATCACAACTTTGGGTAGTTTTTGTGCCTGGTTGAAGAAGATCAAAATAAATGAATATGCCAGAAAAATATGCTGGAAATTGTTCCAGCAGGATATATCTATCATTGAGAATAAACAGTCAAAACAGACTGTTCAGTCCTGTTATAACATTAGCAATAGTCAACTGGTTCATTTCAACAAGGCACACCTTCAAAATTATCCATTCTGCCATCAGCAAGATCAGCACGACACTCCAAGGTCTGTTGTCTAGTCTCTAACCTATGCAGTCTCTGTTTCATCTCTTCCAAAGAAACTGCAATTTTATCCAATTCCTGGTTTATTTTTACTTTTTCTGCCTCACATTCCAAACTCATGTTGTCAAAACTATCTTGGAGGGATTTAACCTCCTGTTGAACCAGTTGTAGCAATGCAGGGTCTACTGGAGAATTCATGCAGAGCTGTGTCCCTGCAGCAACAACATCAAATGCAAGAAGAAACAAGCAGTCTGAGTAAGTTTAGAAGTAAATAATAGAACTTATGATAACAAATAGACAATTAATGACAGTTGAATAAAGGGGGTACTATGTTTCTAAAGAAACTGGTGCTGCATCATTTTCTCTGACAAGGGGCTAACATTGAAAACACCACCTTTAAAACTCTTTACAATGAACAATTTGTTTCATCAACTCAGTTGATCATACTAAATTTAATGACAGTTGTAGAGTTCTGACTCTCCTGGTGATTATAATCTAAAAAAATCACTGGCATTAAAGAAGGTATTTACATATAAAACAAAGACAATAAATGTTTGAATCCCAATTGACTGGCTTGGCACAACAATGATGACAATTAACATTCTTTTCCCAAACATACAAATTTCCACACTAGAGATTGGGTCCACATGACAAAACAAATCAAGATGAGCTGAAGTCATCCCATACTAATCAGGTGAATGTCCTTTTTCCAAACCGGGACACATTATTGAATTATCAAAGAAAGAAGGTCAAAATTATGATATGTCTGCTTCCTTGTAACTGAAGGAAAACTCAAATGTACTCTAGTTAACAAATAGATTCCAAGTTGCCGTACGTCTGTTCAGTAATAGATCACAGATGACATCAAAATGTGGTAAGAACAAAAAAGTGGCACATGAGGCACAGCCAAGTGTCTCATTGATGTTCTTACCACATTTTGATGTCCTCTGTGATCTATTACTGAACAGATGCACAGCAACTTGGAATCTATTTGTTTTATATAATAAAGAATTGAAAAAGTTTTAATGATGACGTCATCTATATGTCTGTCCTCCAATAGATCATAAGTGAGAACCAATCAGAATGCATGCATAACTGAGCTTATTATAAAACGTAATATAGATGGAAAGTGGGCTACAAGATAGGACATTACTATTTCCTGACTTATTAACCATTTCTTCCCTGGATCCAGTCAATATGCTTGTCAATGAGATTGATCAGTTTCTTTCTCTATGATTACCCCCAACTAATGAAAGCCTATTAGTGTCAGTTTACACATTGATTCAGTCACACAATCTGCCATAAAATTATGGTCAGTCCATACCGCCCCCCTTATATAATAATAATTATTGTTTTATTACCTTTCATTTCCCAATCCTTCAATTCTCCAAGAAGTTTCCTTTCATCTGAATGTGGCAGAGTCATATTCCTTACTAGTTGATCCATCTCAATAAAACTTTGCTGAAACTTAGCTGGATCCCATTTACTGAAGACACAATGTGCCCAATCATTTCGTGCCTTTCTGACATCACCCACTGCACTTTGAACTGCATGAGAGAATACAGGAACCCAACCAAGCAAAGACAATACAGCAGATGCATCACAGTGATCATCAAAGGCAGTAAATTTTGCCATGTAGTTCTCAACATATAGCCTTGCAAAGTCTACATCAGATGCCACTCGACAATCAAACAAAGAGTAATTTAATCGCCCATCGGAAAGTCTGCGATGAACATCATTTCCATTGATGTTCTCGTATTTCAACAACTTTCCTGCAGGCCACTTCCGAAGACGACCAGATGTACTCTGTCCATGGATATTGTGGCTGGTCTTTAGGTTATTGTATTCAGTGTTGATTCCTTGTTGTACAAATGGACGTATCTGTGGTATGAGGATCTTGTTGAGTGCAATTCCAGCCACAAGCCATCGTTTTTGATTGTCAGTCACACCAAGGTGGCTTGACCTGATGATTACATTGAGTAAACTTAATACAGAGCTTTGAACAAAGCTGACTGAGTAACTGACAGAAACACATTGCCATTTCTTCATATCAAGCTTACATAAAAAATTATTACTGTTCATGAGAATGAAAGAGAATATCAAAATTAATTTAAAAGTCATGATAACACTTTCATATGACATGTTTCCATGCATGCATGCATGCATTTTACCCATTTATTATGTTACAACACTTAAAATTAAAATTACATTACCAATACTGTATATAAACCAAATGACAATATTTGAAATTACAGTACTGTTAAGTATTTAAATTAGACATGCATGCTCAAGTGTAACATCTGAAAGGTTAATCCAGGAAAATAAACAATCACTGTCATGTGAAATCAGTGCATTCAGTTCAGTTTGCAAGCAGCCAATGTACAATGCTTCCTTTAAATTCAGGCCATTGGCTATTTTTCCTCTAGGGTGAGAGAACATCTATTGACAGACATGTATTCACATATTGACAAGCACTTGTATACATTTCCTGGTTGTAAGCATAAAATGTTCACTGAAGCTCCCACAAACAAACATTTTGGGGTGCACAGCCCCCCACACACATATACACACACATTTTGGTGCCAGAAAATATTGCTAGGGTAGCAAAAAAATTGGCAAAATATTCAATCCCTTAATCTTTTCACAAATACTTTTATCAGCATGGCTCTTGGTGAAATAATATGTCGTGAAACTTTTTTTAACAGTTCCAACCTGTGTTCAAGAAGCTCACAAACTGTAGCAATTCTCAATTAAATTAGACAGCATGTCTAGGAAAAAAGACATGATTTAATTTTATTTATGGGAATTAACCCAATTAAATGCTAAGCTGAAACATTTACAGTATAATGTGCCAGAAACAATGAAAGTAAGTCATAAACAACATTCAAAACTGTAAACTGCCAATTACCAAATTGAATGCAAAGGGCATTTTTGAAAAATTGAGTTGGGGTATTGGATTGGAGAAACAGGTATTAGCATGATTGGGTGAAGGATGAGCCCTCCACATTTGAAAATGCTCTGCTACCTCTGCAGCTACCTCACTGCTTAACCCTTTAACTCCCAAAAGTGATTAACATGTAACTTCTCCCTATAATATCTAAACATTATCCAGGAAACAGGTTATGAGAATATTCAAATTTTTCAGGTTGAAGTCTCTATCTCAATCTGACACCAAATTCTCATACCTTATTTACAAGGAAATGTGTAGCTCCTAAAGGGGAGAATCAACAATCAGATCTTGGGAGTTATAGGGTTAATTTTAAAAAACATGCACTCAAATTTTTTTTCATTACAATGACAATTTCAACTCCACATATGTACCAATGCAACTACAAAATGTTTCTGGCACCTCTCTGTGAAGAATATGACCAGTGACAATTTTGTGATGTTAGTCCAGAGAATTTGGTAATGGATCCACTAATAATCCCCTATTTGATATTATTCTATATTTCCATCATTCTTCTGCATGATATTGTACTGATATTTTAAGGAAAAACTCTGCCCTTTTCACTTATGGGAGTTTAAGGGTGAATGGACAACTGAGAAAGAATGTAGAACTTACCCTGTTGAGGCAGCTGTTGCCATTCCTTGAGTTTTACGAGGATATATTACCTCACCATCTCAGCCTTACCTGAAGTAAAAAGTGAATGGGCAATTTATTAATAAGGAAAACTTATTCTCCAAGTTAAATGACTTATAATATTGCTGCTTCATTTAATTTGGAAGCTCTGTATTGTACAGCACTCGCTACACAGAGATTATTGATGGGTATGTAACGAGTACATGTCACTATCGGAAATTTAAAATGGCATTGTGAACACTCGCAGTGCTTTTAGAGTGAACTTCATAGCCATGCTATGCCCTCAACAAAGGCCAAATCTAAGATCAGAGTTAATGAAACTATTTCGATCTTAAAACCTGAAGCCGTGATGAAAAAGATAGTCAGTTGTAAAAATTTTTGCATCCTAACCCCAAAAAAGAGAAATTCAGCTTCTGCCGTGTAATTAAAACCAAAAGAACACCATTAAATGGCCGTAACCCTGTTTAGAAGCAAACATTTTTGCCACATTACCTACTTCCGGTATAGCAACTAGAATTAATTTAAATAATACTCTCAGTTTTGCACAAATTAATCAATCCTCGATAGGCATCGTAAGGTTTAAAGACTGCCAAATTACAAACAATATTATTCCGATAGACGACGTAGCAGTTATATAAAAACTTGTAGGATAGAATGGAATGAACAAACAGAGCGATGGTCAGTGCTGCAACTACTACCGGCCACGCATAAACAAACAACAGTTCACCGAGACACGAGGCGAATGAAATGTCGCTCTGTAAGAAATAAAAAATGGAAGAAAAGAAGAATCGACGGGTTACCTTAACAATAAATGTTCATATCTGGCTCAAAAAAAGTAATGGTCGGAAGAAGTTCGTATGCGGACATCTACTCCTCCTTCCTCCGTCGACAGAATGCGAGTTGTATCACGTGACTGACGTTTGGCCTTGCTTACGTCATTCGTTGCCGAAGTCACAAAATTGATCAAGGCTGAGTGTCAAGGGAAAAAGCATCTAACATATAGATTCAAAACTTTCTTGAATGTAGCACTGAAAATGCAGTAATTTTTGCCTTGTGTGTGCTTGTTTTTTTCTGAGATTTTCTGGAGAGGAGAAGGAGTTATTTCAATTTCAAGGGGCATCTTTGGACATTTGCATTAGTTTTGACTGTTCCAATCTCAAGGTCATGAAGAGACAAAATGTTCAAACAACAACCAGTGATTGCCAAGGGAAACAAAGCAACATCACATTCAAATTGTGGCAATTCTTTTCTTGTTGCTTCTTCCTTTTCACTTGGGTCAACTGAGAGCCTGGCACAGGCAAACTGCACTTTTAATTTAATTTGAACTGAAGCACTGTATCTCATGGTCCAGGATTAAACAGGGTATACAGAACCATACTCATAATTGACTTTCATTATTTTCAGTGCAAATTACCAAAGAATGCTTAGGTTCAGGTTGAGCAGGGGCTTCTATTCTGAAAAGTATTGGAATGTTCTTGGGAAACTTTAAGGTAAACTCCTTCAGCCAACCACTATGGGTGTTGCATATGACCTCTAAATGTCTGTTGAGAAGAGTGGATTGCTTTGAAATATTCAATCTCTAATTTATTAACCATCCACCAAACGATTGAGACAGCTTCAACAACTAAAAATCTGAAACTAAAAACCTTTAATGATGGAGTTTAAATTTCAACATCTTTTTTACTCTTTTTTCCTCACACATTGCTTTCAAAATTATCAATCCTATCAGAATATAGGATGCTTAGTAAACACAAAACCCTTGTTTATTGTTACCCCTCCTGGGAGGAGCAGAGATAGGGATTGCTGGTAGAAAACAATTCTTAGACTACTCTTCTTTGTTACTTCCTGTCCCCTTTTGACTGTTGATAATTTGTACTTATTGTGTATTGTGTACAGGTAGTAAGGAAAAAGAAGCCTATCTTTCACTCTATCTTTCTCTAAGCAATTAAAATATAGACAACTATTTATTTACAATCATAAATTATTAAATCATACATGCACAAAACCAAATTATGGTTTTCAGTCATGTACCGGGGTAGGTTCCTGTTTCTCATAGCCAAGTTATTTACTCTGGTGTCCAATTTGAATCATGCCAAACTTTGACTTTTCCATCCGAAGATGCTGATAGAAGGTAATTTTCTGTAGGGTGATAAGACAAAGAGTAAACAACAGATTTATGGGCTTTATCCAGGGTGTGTACTATCTTGGCTTCAACCAGATCCCAAAAACAAATCCTGCCATCCTCTGAGCCACTAACAACTTGTGCATCACTGCTACTCAGGCAGCTGTCCACTTTATAGTCTTTGTTTATATGACCTGTAAACCTGAACACAACAATGATCCATTAGTACTATAATTCTCCCAAAATGATTTACATTAATCCAAAACTTTTTCTGGGACATTTCATCAGTGTTACCTTTAAACTACCTCAAAATGATCATAACTACTCCTTTCTGGCTACAACACATTTTTATGTGCGTTTTATCAAAATACCATCCTTTGATGATGGTACTCTTCATTCTCACTAACCTGTCTAATCTAAAATATACTAAAATTGTAAGGAGAAGTTATAAGTACATCAATTCTGAGAGCAAAGGAGTGATTTTTAGAAGTTATATTAATTCAAAGCCTTTCTTCTCTCTAAATTGTTAACTCCCCTTTGGTACATTTCTAAATATAAGTTAAATTAATCATTTACAAGTCTTGCCTGAGCAGTTTAAATCTGAAATGAGAAGGGCAATGAGCCAACATTACACTAGGTAAGAAACAGAGCAGTGATAGTTTTGGTAGCAGTAAGGTAGTATTAATTTACCCTGTACACCATAACACCATTTTGCGTATTCTCGATACAATTCTAAAGGCGCTAACAAGGAAAATTTGTTTAAAAATAAAGAGGTTCTTCAGTTGGTGATCATTTCTGTTATTCTCATGACCTTAATGTATGGTTCAGAGGTGATACTATAGGGAGAAATTAGATGCTAGTCACTCTTAGGGGTTAAAGGAATAAAAGGAAAACTCACAGACAAAACTTCGGTTAGTCACCCAATGAAAACAATTTCTCATAGCCAATAAGCATGAATGATTTAAAGATCTATTCTTTCCAAAGTATATTAAATTCAGAATTTTCTGCAGTTTGGCTAACTTGTATGTAGTGTACTTCCCCTGATGACTTTTCTGAGAGTAGAACTTCTAACTCACTCATTCAGTAACTCCCCAGTGTCTTTATCCATCAGACGAATGGTGTCATCTAATGTTGATGCCAGCACACACTGACCATCCCTCGTAAAATTCACACTGGTGACTGGCTGGCCAATACAATCTACTCGCAACTGACCCATACGGATATCATAGTTACGGACTTTGCCATCAACAGATCTTGTAAGGAAGAATTGATCACAACAGAAAGACTATTTTTAGAAGAAAAAATGGTTGTCATATCTATTTCTTTTTTCTCTTTCTAGACATTCTACCAAAAAAATGATATCACTACTGAGTTTTAAGTTCATAATAGTTATTGCACTAAGCAATGCATTTAGAAAAAAATTCAAGACACTTCTAAAATTCCTAGTTGACTTTTTCATAAAAATAAGTTACATTCAAGAAATAATTTTTGATGATATCAACAATTGCACAGTTCTAGCAGCCCACAAATTACATATACTTGCTTACATGTTTTGAGTCAATGTGAGAATTTATCCCTCAGAAAGGCCAAATTTTCATGAAGAATTAGATTATATCATAGGACTAACTCTAAAATCCAAAATTAGGGAGGATGCACAGGAGATTTGACACAAACCTGTCTCCAGAGCTTTCCTTCCACATTCAAAGTTCTAGGCAGAAAGATGATAATTTACACAGCCTAATTTTCTCTTAGGGCATATAATGATTTTTAGGCCATACATTTTTATCAAGTGCCATTCCGTGCTTTGCCAGCCTCCTTTGTCCCTTCATGTACAAGAAATTGGTCACCAGGAATGCATTAGCATGAGATCCAAATGTTCTCTCCACAGGCACAGTGCTCATGCCCAAGGCAAGAGAGTTGACAGAAATACTGCTTCAGCTACATGTAGTAACCTATAGCACTTGCAAAACCTACCCAGACAGAATTTCATGTTGAGACACACATAGGGAAGGCACACTGTCTTTAGCATCATCAAGAATCTGTATTGGCTCAGGACTGCGCGATTTACAATCCCAGCACCGTACACTGGCATCATATGAGCCAGATATTAATACTGTGCTGTCTGGTTGGTTAAACTTCACACAGTTCACTTTCTAGAAATAAAAACATCACTGTTAGCATAAACCTCACACCTCCCAGAAATGATCAAAATGTAAATTCTCCTTGTAATTCCAATATAAAACCTCACAAACAGGTTATGAAAACAGGCAAGCTTATTAAGCTTAGTAACTAACAGATGTTACTTTAAGAAAGAACACATTCCCCTGTCCAATTTACAAGGAAATGTACATTTAAGGGAGTCAATAAGAAGAATAACTTATGAGATCTTGGGAGATAACAGGTTAATTAGAAAACTGACAGTCACTAATTGACAAACTGCCCACATGTAGAGTTATCATAGACATCATTATCACCAGTAGACAAACAGTGTTGTATCATCATCATCACAATCTGTGATGGTGAATGATTGCAAGATAAATAAAAATAAAAAAGCCTCTGGTCTCCATATGGTTACAATCAGACAGCATTTTGCATGATTACACATAATAACAGTTATCATATCCTTTGATCATTTTTTGCAATGAAAAGCTTGTCTTGTGTTCAAAGTATTACATCAAAATTATTTTTCTGTTTTCAAAATACACAATCAAGAGCCATTGTCCCGAAGGCGATCCATTGCATTGTTTTTTCCACTATTTTTTTTTATCCAAGAACTGTATGCACAATGGAGTATAGGGCTGCGTGGAAATCTTGCCGTGATTTTTTATTAGTATGAGACAAGGGAAACAAAAATTGAGACAAAGGGTGAAATGGAACCGAACGAATAAATAATATTTCTGTCACTTACACTGGTGTGTCCTCTAAAGCGGCGTATAATTTGTCCAGTTGCCACATCCCATAGTATAACAGTTTTATCAGCTCCACAGCTCGCCACCCGACCATTATCACTGGATCCTACAGCATCAAGTACTTCATATCCATGTCCACTGTACGTCTTTAGGAGACCTCCCTTGTGAGGGTTCCACAGTTTTAAAAGTTTATCGCTGCCACATGTCAGGCAGTAGTTACCGTCGTAATTGAATCTGACGGCTCGTACGGCTCCCTGGTGGCCCACTAAGTTTCTAGTTTCTTTGCATGGAAGAGGTAAATCCATCTCGTTACCATTTACTTGGTTTTATAAGTCATATTTGCAGCGGATTTGACGCTACTGAAGTGTTCACTCATCCGCCATGTTTCTCTCCTTAGTAACCATTCCAGTTAGTTTCGGTCCTAGATTCCTATCGGCCATACTCGGTTTCGGTCCCAGGTCCCATGACTTGCACTAGTGCAGCGCGTTCCACAAGCAGTTATCGCCCTGCAAGTTACTTACCCGATCGCTCATCTTTTAATTCCCTATCGTAAGCCCGTTGATCATTCATTTGATGTACGGCAGCAAGGTGTAATTTTCTTACTATATTCAGGTTTCTGGTGGTGAGTGTGAAGCAACACTTATCTGACGTTTTACAGTTTCACGCCGAAACACAGCAGGCATAAAGAGACATACATCCTCTCAGCGAGGGAGACTAAATGACTATTAAAGATAAAGACAATGTATTTGGAAGTCGGGTCGAGTAATCTTCTTATTATTTAGTTATTTTGTTTGTATATAGAACTATATGTTCTTTGTTTTTTGAATAGAGTATTGTTATTAGAATTACTTTACATTTTGAGCTCCAAAAGGTATATCTCAATCGGGATGAAAACGATTTTGAAGTTTTGAAACCTCGTAGCTAAAATGGACGGGAACTTTGAAGCTGAATAAAAAGTATTGCGCCTTAGTTCGCACACTCAAGGCAACATGTAATCTATTTGAATAAAGGGGGAAAGTTTCTAGAGAAACTGTGGTGCAGCGTCGGTGGGAGAGTATAACAATGTAATTTAGTGTTATCAACTGAGTTTATAACGTAAATTGGCCTCCGTAAGGGGTTTAAAAGCTGACGTTTCAAGCGTTAGCCCTTCGTCAGAGCGAATGGCAAACGCTCGAAACGTCAGCTTTTAACTAAACTGTTTACTATGGCCAATTTACGTTATAAACTCAGTGTATTTATACTAAATTACCCTGTCATAGAATCTATTAGTTGCATTCACCCTAGTGGGGGGCTCATTAGGAATTAAGTAGGACTTGCACGTGTGCTGTGTTGTGACATCTATTTCCTCCAGATAAGGTAGTTGCTACTCTAACAGTTTTTAGATTAAGTAAACTCTGAAAGGTTTTTCAGCTGGTCAATGTGGTTTAGACAAACTGATAAGGGCGTCTGACAGAGAGATTTATTGCTCGCATTTCCATCGATGATGTTAAATTGCTCAATATTAACTGTGCCATCAGAGTGGAAACTTTTCGGTTTACCACGTGATCCACGGAGGACTAGCTTGAGGATGCCGGATGGAAGGTGTCAGCAGGTGAATCAGTGCCACGGGTTGAGCGTGAAACCCCTCTCCGGTGACCATTACCACAAAAAAGGTCCCTTATTTCATTCTAACAAGGTGTGTTTTGTCTTAAAAATAAAACAATGGAACAAAAATAGATTTAGTACCGTAACAAATACGCCCTTACTTTATCTGTCTTTCTAGAAACGTCTACTTAAGACAGGAATAGAAAATATAATGGGCAGGTGTCAAAAGACCTTTCATAATCCTGACAAATGTTATTTATTTTTAATAGGGGTTTTTATCGACGAGGGTGAGTGGATTAGCCTGCCAGAACAAATTGATTTTTCACTTTGAAACATCTCTGATATATCATCGGATAACTGACGATCTTTGTCGAATGAAAAACAGATCTTCAGCTAGAGCTATGTATTCACCAACGGCCTGTTATTTCAATTTTGATGTCATTAAAAATTTTGTGATGCAATCACAGAAAAGTATTCAAATTAAGAATTCAGTCGTGAGTCAAGATGACCTCAAGTATTGGCGATTTTTCACCTTAGCCCGACGAACATTATTCCAAGACATACCACTCAACCTTAACATCATATGAAACTTCGCAACATAGCCGGCGAGGAAGGTAAGTTCTCTATTTTTGTTATTTAAGTTCATTTTTTGTCGTAGAGTCTCATTCAGCTTTGAACTTGAGCTTGTAAACAAAGCAAACAATGACATCACTATAAAATTTTCCAAAAAAAAAAACCAATACATAAAGCTATTTCAGTGAGATTCGCAGTAAGGGGCTTGATCACCTGGGCATTCAGGAACTCGTCTGCGTTCAAGGCCCTTAAGTAGGGTTACATGAGAAACAGACCATATTGTTATAGCAAAGTTGTTAATATTTCGGTTTTCAAAATGATAGCAAGAGTTAGCTCTGTTATTGAACACTCTGTAGAATCATTAACAAGGAATCAAATAAAAGTTTTCATTTCATTCGTTCGCGGGAGGACCTCTGATGTATCTCACCTCTTAATGGTTTTTTTTCTTTTTCAATTTTTATGGTTTGATTTCTCTTTCGTATTCGCATTTCTTACACTTGATTCGCCCCAACTTTTTCTGTCAGTTTATCACGAAGGAGGATGTGGAGTCGAAGGGTGGAAAAAATTATAATAATAGATCGTTGTTTGCATTTATTTATTAATTCGATTCGAATGTCACCATTTTGAAACAAATGCAACAGTAAAATATCTCATTCCATTTTATCTTGCTGTAGCTCATTAAATGGTTACGTAGACCTTATCAGTGTAATTAGACGTAAAGAGTTAACGACATAAAAGAAAAAAATCTTACCTGTTTCCTGGGGCAAAAGACTACACAGGTTTAGCCTAAACTATGCTCGAGAACTTTTGTCACCTAAAGGAAACTTCCCATTCCACGTACGCGCGGTGGAGTTCCTTTACACTGTTTTGGTTTCAGTTAGTGTTTTAGAGTTAAGTAAAAGATTTGGAGACAGGTAGCTCGAAGGATCACCACAAAACGTATAATAACTTTTAATCTTCTTTATTGTCCTTGATACTTGATTAAGACTTTGATTCCATTCATAATTTTTACAACTTGATTGTTCGATCTAGGGATATTCGAAAGACCGTTACTTCGAACTGAATAGAAACGTGATCTTTTGTGATACAGAACCTAGAAACGACACCATAAATTAGCGTAATCAAAGAAATCAAATCTTACTTCTGCGGGGGATCGTAACTCGCAGACTCATTAGTTCTCAGCTTAAGTTAGTCTAAGTTCTTAGTTCAGGAAGTTAGCGCACTATCTTCTTCTGAGAGTTTCCGATGATAGTAAAAACTGATTGACAAGAGGATACCAAAGTTCCGAGGGCTTTACCACACGTATATTAATATATGTCTTTGCTTACAATTCCAAGAGCATGAAAAACGTTCGATCCTTCGCCAGTCAAGAAAAAGGTTATATGAGACCTTCTTTAACGTATGTGTTTTCCCTTACCTTAAGGAAAGGTCAAGTACTTTGGAGGTGAATCGACTGACCGATCAAAAAAGCTTCGACACAGTTGTTTAACTCTCAAATTTAAGCTCAATTTTTTTTCAGTCATTTGCAACCTGTTACCATCTTCTCAAACAAATTTTTATCTATCATTAATTCATTTAGATTTGGTATTTGTGGCTTCTTTCACGTCCGAGATAATGTTTTCTCGTCGTAAGATGCGAATCAGAATGTCAAGAAGTGGTGCTTGCTCATACTAAGATTATACTATCACACATTAGCTAACAATTATATTTTGTGATCCTCTCTTTAAAGGTTGTTTCTGAGAAAGTAACATGAGGTCTACTCTTTTTCTGGCGACTATTTTACTAGGTAAACACTGAGTTCACTGCTTTGTTTTGATGAACGCTATATATTTATCAGGTCTGAATGCTCGCAGCCATTTGGAGGAAATCCTAAATAGAGACCAGCGGTGTTGAAGACACATCTGTTGTTTCGTTTGAATTGTTTTGGACTAACTTTTTCTTTTTTGTGAATTCAGTGACTGTATCGGATATCACTGCTAAAAGCATTAAACATCCAAAACATCACAAGTCAGAGAGGAAGCAGCACCATGACCAAAGCCATCAACGACAAGCTGTGGTTCCACCTGCGCAACCGACTGCGGCTGGAGCACCAACCACTGTAGCACCAACCACTGTGCCTACTGCTGGAGCATCAACTCCCGTAGCTCCAGGACCAGCCCCTGCTGCAGGAGTAAAGACCACCGTAGCACCTCCTGGTAGTACACCAGCAGCCGCTGGTGCAGTAGGAACAACTAAGGTACCAGCAACTACAAGTGCGACACCCGCGGCTGCCGGAGCAGCAGCAGCTCCCACTGCAAAACCAGCAACTACTAGTGTCGCACCCGCAGCTGGTGCAGCGGTAGCAACAACTGTGGCACCAGGGGAATCCACAGCGAAGCCCGCAGCTGCCACCGGTGCACCTGCCGCTGCGGCAACCACTGTGCCACCTGCTGCATCAACCGCAAAACCTGTAACTGCCACCGTTCCTGGCCCTGTAACAGCCACCGTGGCACCAGGTGCATCAACTGCGAAGCCTGAAACTACACCTGTGGCTGCACCAGGAAAAGCTCCAATTGTGGCAACACCTACCCCAGCGGCTCCCGCGGCAGGTAGTGCACCTACAACTGGACCAGCATCATTGCCACCCGCTGCCGCTGGAGCCAAGCCTGCGCCTGGAGCGCCAGTTACAGCTAAGCCTGCCACCGCCGTTCCAACCGGTAAGTTTATATTGCTATTTTTGTTGTTGTTATCGTTGTCTCTTCGATGGTAGATTAACCGATGATACTTTTATCAATGACAACTACAGGTCCACTACAATTCGCGCCAAGCGCCTTACCCGCCAAAGATAAAGAAACGAAGACAGAAGGAGAGTCGTCCTCAAAGGCACATTTCAGGAAGGAAGATAAAATCGACGAAAGGAATGACAAATCTCAGGAAGAAGGTAAAGAGTCCGACAGTGATAGCAAACATAAAACGGAGAAGGAGGCAGAGGACAAATCCGAAAAGGCAATTGGGGATAAGTCTAAAAATAAAGTTAAAGACGAGTCTGTGAAGAAACTGAAGGACAAGTCTGAGGATAAAAAGCATCATCGTTTTCACCGTCATCAGGATTAACAGATGAATTCTATTTGGCACTGCTGGACTGGACTTTAGAAAGAAAAAACAAAGACATTGAGTAAACGCATATAACTAGCGCTTTTCGGCGTTTAGCGCAAATTTTACCTATTTTGTTGGCATATTGAAAATGTTGACAGCTCAGGGGCGTAATAAAATCTAGAAAAGAGCGAATAAGAAATATTTAAGAGGCGAATACGTATATATTATTATCTAAACACACAGACTTACAGAAAGTAAGCTATAGGTCTACCGCAAAACTGCTGTTTGCAGCACAGTTATTACAAATTAATTTATTTTGCATAACTTGTCGTATGTTAATAAAAAGTATTTTCATGATGAAAAAAACAAGACTGGTATAGCAAATAACTTAATACCCGTGAAAATAACTGCCTACGATTTCAAAATCCGGGAGTCACGCAGAGGCACGAGTGCTCTGATAGGACTTGGATTTTTCATTGTCCCAAACATTTGACGAATGAATACTGATTTGGTCCAAGAATGCTCCATTTCGTAAAATTGTCACTCACTCGATTCTATCAGCATAAAGGGACGCTTGTGTGGAAGTCTCGCAGCCTCGCTCATCAGTGAGCTTTCTGAAGCCCAGTGGTAGAGCATCGAGACGGGACCAAATCCCGAAGATTTGAGGCTCAAAACGTTGGAGGAAACCATATTTATCATTATCCTGTACTGGTCACAAATGAATATCGTCTTAATTTAACTTATATGACCTCTTTTCAATAACATATAACATAAAAACATATAAACATAAAACGTAACAACTTTATTTAAGTGTCGATGTCTTTAACCTAAAAAGCTAATTGGAGACACTAAAACAATAGGAGAAAGATTATAAAATGAGTTAATAGATGATATCATTAGGTAAATTCATAATTCAAGAAATCTAAAATTTATAAAAAGTTAAAAGTTTAAAATTACGGAGTTATCCCCACAAAAATGTACAGAAAAATGCTAAAAAAATTTCTAAACATTCTCAAGAGCTACAAATAAGACAGGAGCCACAATTGTCACTTTTAAGATCTACAAGGTTAATATGCCGTATGTTGGACTCAAAGGATTGTAAGGTAGGTTTGTCCTTGATTTTGCTGTCCAGTCTAGACCATATATATATGGTCCAAAGTACCATAAAGAATTTTTCCCGTAATGTACACTATTAAATCTGGGTAAATGAAAATCCATATTTCTTACTTGATATTTGGATGACTTAATACTAAAAATGTCAACGACATTTCTAGGTACCAAACCATATTTAGCTTTATACATTAAGGTAGCAAGATCTTGTAAATGCCTATTTTGTAGACTAGGTAGATTGGCACGGTTAGGAAGATTAGTGTACTCTACTGAATGTGTGTTATACACAATCCTAAGGGCCGTTTCTGTACTCTTTCAACAGTTTCTGGCGTCGGGGGCTTTACAGAAATGCCATATAAGGTAACAATATGTTAAATATGAGGATTTATATAAAAGCAATTTTCGCTTCCGTTGGGATCAGATTTCTTAATCTAGAGAGGACGCTCACTCTCTGACTAGCTTTTTTACACAGTTCACGAAGGTATTTGCTAAATACAAGGTGTTCGTCGGTGTTGACTCAGAGAAGGCTAATGTCCCCAGTACTTTCAATGACATGCGCATTGATTGTTAATGAAGCTTGAAGATTGCAAGTCCTACAACGGACCTGTAATCACTCAAAGGGTGTTTACGATCACGCTGGGCTATAAAAGAGCAGAAGTGACCCTTACAACGAGACTGCTGTATTTTTATTGTATTGAAAAAGTGCGGAGACGTAAATAATCTTTCTTTAACGATAAGAATTCGATACTGTAGTAAATCTATAAAGCCTCTTGACAGCTGTATGGTGATGGAAACAGTTTATCGATGTCTTTTGCATGTTTGGAATCTCAGCCATAAGCGACAAACCCTAACCTCTGTTCAACTGGTTACGCAACGGATATCACAATAATAATGCCTGGAAACTAGTAAATAGGGTCAAGATACTACATGTAACCTGCTCTTAGAGCTTGTCAAAATTTCATCTAATAAAAAACTTACATTTTGGAATAAAAACATCCGTTATCCATTCTCGATTAGAAGCGTTAACATCCCGTACATTTACTCTCATACCTGCCACTGAATACTTCACTAAAAATACTTAAGACAAAACATGAAGTTCGAACAGTCAAGCGGTACGATGCAAGACCGAAATACTTCCTTGTACGCTGTACCAAACAGACAGGATCTATTTTTCCCCGAAAACGGGAACAGACACAGTGTGTCTGTTCAGTTATGGATCACATATTTAATTCTCTGACAAGCAATCTGAATGCAGGATAAAACCCGTCATTTCTTCAATGTGCGCGCATGAGTCAAGTTATAGCAACTTCAGCAAGGATACGCATTGCAAAACCAAGGAATGAACAGCATATTGCTGTCACCTTTCCGCAGGCATTTATACTTGCAGCTCAGCTTACGGTGCAAACGAATATCAAATCTCAGGTTACGAGAAAATGCCCTCGTATTTCCCTCGTGAGCTTCAGACAGCCAAGGATAATAATTCGCCTCTTATAAGGGCTTGCGCAGAGAAAATGCACAGTGGATATCCAAGAAATGACCTTCAGGGGCCTGTAGCACATTTGGAGTTTCCTTTTCAGGAGTTCCTTTAAAACAGCTCGGGTGGCCCTTGCGGTTGTACACTCACTGCAAACCCCAGCCACTTTGGAATTGTTAGTGTTACTCATTACACATTCTTCGGTAGCGTGCACTTGCGATCTTACGTTTTTACTTACTTTTACGCCTATTACTGTGCTAGGGGCAGGATCTAAAGACTTCTACCACTCCAAACTTGACTCTGAAGGGTAACTCCGGCTCGTTGCAGGGTTTTACGTTGAAAACATTGTCCCAAGAGGAAATTCCTATTGACATGACATCGCAGCAGTTTCAAACCACGAGGTTTTCTTGTGTTCGGATTGTCTTTTGACAGAACTGGTCACTTCGGGTCACCAGTCAAACTGCCCCCAAGGACAAGAATTCTGATCAGGACTTGTTCTTTTGACTGTCGACTGAGAGGGGAACAAGTTTATTTTGACGGAAAAGACTTAGTTGCGCGCAAACAAAGAACTTATTAACACCAGCCTCATCGAATGACAAAATTCAGCTACGGGAGCTAAGGTAAAGGCCTTGAGAGTCAAATTGCTTTGTCCTTTTTATCATAATTAGTCCATTAAGTGAACAACATGTACCTTTTAAAAGACTAGCTACCGTTTAGTTTCTTTGTTTGAATGTTTCAGATGTTTTTATTTCTTTTGTTTTCATTTAATTGTTTTGTTTTCTTTTCATAGCTGTGCTAAAGTTGGCCCAAACAAACATGGTTTACTTGTGTTTCTTTTGTATCATTTTGTCTTCGTTTCTTGTCTTAATAGGTGAGCCGTACATTTAAAGAATGTATTAACTGTGTTTAAATATTGATTTCTGTTCAGTTAAAATATAAATTGACAAATTGCTACGTTATGACGAGACACACTCGAATTATTGGTAGTGACTGCCAGGAAACGACTCCTAATCTTCTGATATGATGGTCTGAAAATTACAATACAGAACAAATTGTAAAATTGATTCAAAATTAGGGGTGAACGTAGCAACTGCTTTCGAAAATTCAACGGTGAAAAGAAGCAGAGATGGAAAATAATGATTGAGGTTTTAACCAGCGACTCGAACCCTTATGTCAAAATTGAGAGTATTTCAGTTCTTCTTTTGATGAGGATTATATCCGCAGCGATGAATTCAGATGCCGCGGAGATGCTATAAAACTATAACAGGTAGCTTTGTTTTCAACGATTGGTACATGTATCAAGTATAACCACAGTAATTAAACTATCGGCTTTTGTTAGTGGGCAGTAAATAAATAGGCAGCAACAAATCTTATAGCAGTAAACAAGAGATATTTTTCACTTCTACTCCTTTGATATACATGTTAGGGTTAAGATACTGTATATGAATTAAACTTTCATGGGGCGACCCTCTGTTATTGGGTGAACAGTGATAAAGCTTGAGAAAGGGAGTTTATTCTTAAATCGTCAAACGGAGGCGGCGGAGAAGTTTGAGGCGTGAGGAGACTCCGTTGCGTATCAAGCGAAGCACATACAACTATTCAGTTATCTAAATAATCGTGAGGTGAGCAAGCAAAGTCGTGTGGATTCCAAACCAAGTAGGCTGGAGAGCAAGATATGACAATGATATATATGATAGATATATCCCCCATCTACCGACTTAAAAAACAAGAGATGTAACGGTGGATCATTATGTTACAAACAAACGTGGTGGTTTTAAATAGGTCTTAAATGAATATTTTCAGTATTAAAGTTGTACTTATTTATTATTTCTTTTCAGACTGCCATGCACTACCAAGAGGTAAGTCAAAAATTGACCGCAAAGAAAACGAAAAATATGAAGCAATGTTCTCAGTTTGTAAACCTAATTGTCAATCATTGCTATAAAAGTACATGTTCCACATTATGGCTTTCAATTCTTTAGAAAGAAGTGACATCACATGCACGCTGGAACCCCCCACCCCCTCAGTCAGACCCTTGAACCGATTAAGGCCGAGTAGTTGTCGCCTCTAAAGTGATATTCTTTTTCCTATCGTAGATTGTCACGACAGATTTCAAAACTGTGAAACGTGGAAGAGGTCTGGTTTTTGCAGCTTCAGGTCACATGCATTCTACTTGAGGAATGGTTGTGCAAAGACCTGTGGCTTCTGTAAAAGTAAGCTGTGTCCACTAACTGAAATAAAAAGTATTGTGCGCGTGTCTTCACAAAGGCTTTTATATGCTCTGAAGATTAATTTATTGTTTCTTTAATAATTGTGGGTTATGGCCCCTCGAATAGCGTTACTTAAGTCGGCTGGTCACACTCACAGGGTAGTTTAGTGTTAAAAGAGGTAAAAGTTAGATGTTTCGAGCGTCAGCCCTTCGTCAGAGTGATTGGAGGAATTGTGGGTTGTGTGTGGGTTGAAATGCAGAAAATGGAGCTACGCTATCGGTGAATACGATGACGAGAAAACAAGAATACGATTTCCTAGCGTAGCTCCTTGGTAAGTTTCTTCAGGCTTGGCATGGTCAACGTTGTGAGATCTGTGGATTGAAAAATTCTAAGGCAAGAAGTCAAAGGGATTACCTGTTATACTCTCCCACTGACGCAGAACCACAGTTTCTTTAGAAACTTACCCCCTTTACGGCATTGGTCACTCGGCACACACACGCTTGATTTGACCTTGCTTATCATGTAATCATGAAAGAGGCAAGAAGTCCTGCTGGAAGCGAACACATTTTATTTGTCTCATATTATTCTATTCTTAAGGATACCTAATTCGTTTTTGTTTCCTAGGTAACACTCTACTGAATCCAAATTTGCATGCTGTTCAAGATGCTCTTCGTGTCGTACACAAAGGCTCACAAAAACAGCATAACGGAGCTGTTGTAACAGTCCCTAAAGTGAATCCAGGAAATTTGGTGGGAGTCCTTCATCATCATAAACTTCCTACCACGCCACAGCTCCCCCAACATCACAACACTCTTAATGAGCCACAACAAGAAAAGCCCGGTAAGTGAGAGGAAGGAATCTTTTGGGGAAAGTCTTGTGGGTTGGTTGGGATAAGATGACGCTGATTTGTCGGAGTTGTGAAATATCTTACCAAATTTTCACAGCCTATTATAAATCCTAATGGTTAGAATTTTAAATCGACCCGCTCGTGACATCGGTTGCACTTTTTACTTCTAGTGTAGTTAGCGTACTGCTTGAGTTTGTTTTGAACTGAAGTCTTCGCAGCTTTTCATCGCTAAAGAACTGACTTAATGGAAACCATCGACGCTAACTTTGCTTGGCTGTTACAGACGTTGGATTACTTAAGCTATCTCAGTTAAACAATCATATTTTTAAGGGACGTTCCAGCTTTTATTCAGAAATCAAAGAATTTTTTCGCGCCAAGTTCCTTCTGTTGATGCGTATTTTGTTAGCAAGAAAGAGGAAATCAATCAGCGATGCTGTAGTTGAGAGAATTTTGGTGCCAGAAAATTAGTTTAAAAACTGTCTGATGAGAAAAGGGAGGCGAGTCTGGATCCCGGGCCCTCCCTGAAGATTCTCTCCTGGATCAGTGAGAGAACGCTGACAAAATAACTACTGTCACTCCGCTTTCCCATTGGTAATGATTCATTAGTTTTTATTTTCATTGCCTGCTCTTCAAAGAATGCAGGGACAGATTTGTGCCTCAGACGTGTCAGAAATGGAAGGATGCTGATATTTGCATGGACGATCGTTACAGGCAATACTTGACTTACGGCTGTTCTATGACATGTCGCTTCTGCAGTAAGTGCCTCATATCAAAACATTAAGTAGTAGAAACAGCAGTATTTTGTTAGTTTGTCAAGGCCAAGAGTGAAAAATTATGCAGGATTCCCATGCACAAATTTAAAAGGATACTCATATTTATATCTTCTGCGTTGAATCATCTGAATCGGACAAAGAAACTGAATCCACATAAAGCTTTTATTCCAAAGGTAATTAATCACTCAAAATTTGTTTAAGTCATACTCAAGCCATCAGGTCTCCTTAGAAGAACGCATCCAACCAGAGGTAAAATTTTGAGACATAAGATCGATTTATCTTATTGAGATCCTTGGAAGATCTGTGAAAACTGGAGTAGTTTCAGTAAAAATACAAAAATGGACGCAGTTCGACGTTTCATTACTGTTTCAATCATAATTAGTCTTCTTCAAAGGTATTACATGATAGAGTAGGGTATACATGATAAACGACGATTAGTAACAAGTCCTTCATTCCGTCATTAAACCATACCGTGGATGATTTTGATTGTGATCGAGACCAAGAGACGACTTATGATGCACCAAAGAGACATTTATGTTGATATAACTACTGCAAGGATCAAATATATATTCTGTAAGGTGAACGAGTTATTTTCAACCGAAGATATTCGGGATTTTGAACAGAGAGTCTACAAGTGCCCAGGAAGAAGTGACACTTTTCGTTACTTTATAGAGATTCTGTCTTTATTGGTGGAAAGGTTAAAGTGAGGCTGACGTTTATAAAGATCATTAAATGCCTCATTTTCAGTCATCGCACTAACTTATTAGTACTGAATTAGCAAATGCATCAGTGCCATTTAGTTACAATGTTCTGAACCGTGGCATGAAATACCTTTTCTGTCAGATTGCCGTGATACTTACAGGGAAAACCCATATTGCAACGAATGGAAAACCAGAGGATTCTGCGAAACCTACAAAGAACAGTTGGAAACATATTGTCCCAAGACATGTGGCTTTTGTATCAGTAAGTAAAAATTTGCATCAGGTTGAATGCGGGAGTTGTCACAAATATTTCTTTTTTGCCTTGTAAAAATTATAAATACGTCGGAATTTTTCAAAGGAAAAATCAGTCAAAATTTTGAAGACGAGCAAAACTTTGGTAAACAATTATCAGTCCTGGTTCCTGATATGTTAGTTAGAAGTGATAAAGACCTTTGTTTTTATTCAACTTGTCAAATAGGTGAAACCTCTGACAGCTTTCATATTTATATTCTTTAACGAATTAAATAGACAACAAACTGTTTCATTTCTCATGAAGACGCAGAATACGTGGAGACTTCAACAACGCCTTCCCAGAATGCAACTACACCTTCCCAGAATTCCACAACCAATCCAAATAGTACAGCAGCTAGTGAGGCTAGTGACGCAGTACAGCCGACAAAAAAATTCTCCGGTACTCAGCCAACTCAATTTGCTGAGACAGGAAACATAAATTCCAAGAGAGATTTGCCTATGGTCCCGGAGAGGAACTCACCATTGTGGTCAGTGAACGCAGACACACGGATATCCCTACCGCAGCCTCAACAGTATGACGACATGGAAGGAGGTGAGTGCATTAACGGAGAGCCAATATCAAATACCGAATCCACGTTATGAGGGCTGGAATAGGGTAGAATGAGACCCAGCCTCTCTCTCTTTTCCTTTATGACAAAAGCTTCAGTTTAAGAAAATTCTGTCTTTTACCATTCTTCAAGAGACAAGTCATTGCTTAGCGCCCGGTGGGAGAAGAATTTTGGGGGGATCATATGGCTTTCAGGGGCAACGGAGTGGGGATCAGTCGTCGCCAACAGAGTATAAAGTAAGGGGAAGGGGGGGCATAGAATATTGACTGCCAGTTTACTACAAATCAGAGTGGGAGTCACAAGAATATTAAGGAACCTTATTGGGGGATCAGGTTAATTTTATCAGGACACGACAAAAATCCTCCAGACTAAAACCCTTCCCCCAGATACAGCGTTTGGAAAAGGAGAGCTATACCTCAACGACAATCAATTCAGCACCCGACACAGGTATCAATGACAGGAGTGTTGTTATACTGATGTCATGTTGTTTATAAGGTACGGGATTATTAAAAACCCATTTCCTTGTTTTAGCATTTCTACTGGGTTGTCCTTAACCTTACTCTTGGTTACAGTGTAATAGCTTTTTGTCTTAAAACAAAACTTAATCGACCTGGAAATGTAAAGAAGATAACACGCACTATGTTGATCATGAAAACAACTTTTAAAAGCTGTTAAAAAACCGGAGGGGAAAAAAATTACATGTTACACAATCATCGGGTGGGTACACACTTCTAGACCCCAGGTTAATACAGAGTTTGAAATTGTAGCCTATTTTTCAGTGTCCTCTTGCCGTTTAAATTAACGAAGCTTACTTGACGATCAGATCGAACAAAATCACGGGAGATTACATCTGCACTATTTAGTACAATCGTATACTGACTAGAACCTTTCATTTAAGGTGCTGTAAAGCGTCCTCTTGAGGACGGTACGTACTTCACTCCTGCTAAGACCAATGACAAGTTTGAATACTACACCGAGCACTATTCCCCAGACCCCTATGTGGCGGCTGCGCAGAGAGAGGAATGGATGAGCTCGAACGGTGTTTCCCCGTCACCATCTCTTAGCCGGAAATCAAAGAAACCGGAAGTAAAAGAAGAAAAGGAAGTCATTAAGGTTCTGAAGAAATCTAACATAAAGGATAAGAAGCGTGTGACACACAACAACCCGAAACATTGATGGAAACTATGTTCCCTTTGATTTACTAACTCTGTAGAATCTTAAAAGCCAGGTATTTAACACTGTGATGAGTTGTTAGTGAAATAACATACGATGATACGCTCTTGTGGAGGAAAGATAGCTCTTTTGGAAGAAACTCGATTTCTGCCAACACTTTGTAGTTACTGATCAACTGTATGGCTGCTGTGCAAGCAAATATAGTGTAATCTGTTGATTGGATGAAAGATGCGTTGATCAAAATTCTTGTTTATAAGCTGACGACCTTGCAATAAATGGACACCTTCCAAAATTTATGTGACCGTTGGCCTGTCGCTGTGACATAAGTCTTATGAAGATACTTTTCTCCACGTTCAAGTTTGAAAAATGTCATCTCATCAAAAATTACTCAGAATTAAAAAAAAATGATAAACTGATCAAACGTTTTGGCTCATTGCTGTACCGTCTAGCTATTTCCCCTCCCCCCCCCAACATACTCGCTCCCGTTGATCAGCGGTCAGCCAAACTGAAGTGGTGTAAACTGAGTAACTGGGCATCTTTGATTTTGTATTGATGATTCGACTTAATTTTCAGACTCCATCGGATTGGCCAGCAGTTACCGGTGGAAAAAAGCTTGTGTCTTTAAGTTGAATGTGCTACCTGTAAAACAACCAGTGAATATTATTCTAGTCTACTTGTGAGGGTTGTATCAAATGAGGACGCTTGACAAAGCTGTTAAGAAAATGTTGCGTTCTGCCTGAAAGCATAACTGTTTCAGACAATACTTGAAAATCTCTTTAAAGGTTTTTGTGTGGTTTACAAATTGCGATGAACCTTACTCAAAAATTGTGACGATTTATTTTTTGCCATTTTACATACGGTTCTGTGCCACGACCACGTCTAAAAACTCAAAAAGAATTTCGCCCTTGAAACAAAGGAAAGCACACTAATTTTAATTTACAAATTGAGGGGAAAAATGATGTTTCCGTTTTTTTGAGGTTAAAATGCACTGAAGTGGGTTTCGCTGACACAACACAATCTGACCTGTCACTTACAAATGATTGAATAAGTTGCCTTTAAAGCTTGTCAAAAAAACCCTGAGATGTTGAGTTTTGTTGTCAGTTAAGCGGTTGATATTAAAAAATCACATAAAAAATTAACCACTTTGCTTCCTCATAGAGACCTTACTTAAAATTCGAAGGAATCAATTTGTTTATTTGACCAGTGCAGGTAAAAGACATGTTTTTGTGATTTGTATTTATTTGTTTTTATCAAAGATATCACACAGGCTTACGATACTAAACGTAACCACACTCAAAAGCGCCTCTTGAAAGCTCTTAAGGGTAAGTGGACCTTTTCATTATCGCAACCAGGGACAAGAAGTGTTAAGACCAGGTTGGAAGATTAGCAACAGGTATTCAAGAGGCAGAGAGTAAACATCAAATGGCTATAACCTGACTGGGAAATCTTAGCAGTCCTCGCGATAGAATTTGTGCCATAAAAGTTTGATTTTCGAGCTTGAGTGAGAAAAATAATGAACAAACTCAGCTATAGAGTTGTCCAGGATATTAACAGATGGACTGCTTTGAAGTATTTATCCACTGCTTACTCAACGGAATCAAAATCGATCAAACAGACTGCAGTTAGTAATTTATTCATTGCGACTAACCCAGAATTTTGTCAAATAACATACGACGACATTTTTATTGACGACTAGAAAAAGTTCAATACCAGTTATAAGTGTATTTGAGTCATCCGGGATCGCTTCATTATGGATAGCTCGGGTTTTTTACCGGTTGCGAAGCAGTGCGTAAGCGTAAAGGATAGAAACTTAATATGGAGAGTTCATAAGCTTGCCGAAACTGATCGGAAATGAAGGGGGATTAGCAGGCTGCAGAGCTGACCGTTTTCTTCACTGACTCGTTCATTCAGTCATCAAGAAACCACATATTCAATGTAGCTTGTAAAGAAAGGACTGCTTAGCTAAATCTAAGCTTGTTATTTTTGTTTTGTTGTTTTTTTAAAACACTTGTTAATCTCGTGCCGTTGCCCTCATTGTCACTATATATAAAAAAAATCACGAAAAATGAAAACTCAATCACGTTTGGCTTTTTGATTGACACTAAATGAAAAACTGTTTGAGCTAAATCTACAACAGTTTTCTTCAGGAGGTCGCTGACATCTATGTTCCCAAGATGATAATAGCTGCCTTGTTGTTCACGTGCTGCGCCTTTCTATCACGAACGGGTGAGTTATACAGGCGACAACGAGTTAGCGTGATTGTTTTATTTTTGTTTTCGTTTTTCTTATTTGCTTTGTATCTTTCTCAATAAGTTATTTAGTTCTTACTTACATTATGTCTCTCAGACGGCAAGATATCACTGACAAAAAGCAACCTCTTCCGTCGTTCATATATCGGGGAAACCAAAGGTAATAAATAATAAATAAATAATAAATAAATAAATAATAAAGCCCAAAAGTTAGTCTACACCGGCAGCATAATATTCATTTCATCAAAGTCAGTCGATTGCACTAATTTTTATCGCATGATTTAGGGACTGCAGGTAACCATGAATTATTTTTCACTAGGGATAGATACACCAACTTCTCATTAGATGTTGAACTATTCAAAGTTCTTCAGTAAATTTTATAACATACTAAACAAATTGTCTAGTTCCTGATTGGCTAATCAGATTTACCAAACACTTTAGTCTAAGTCTCTCTTAGTGGTAGTCCAGGTATACCCGCGAACTTCTGTAAGAAGAGGATTGCAGGCGCACTAAAACATCAAGTACCAGAGACTGAACCTAGACACGGGTGTACTTATTTCATAGGATGCGATAAAGTTTGCCAGAAGGAATGCATTCAAGTGCACAACAAATACAGAGCTAACCATGATGCACCACCGCTGGCTTTTGACCAGAAGCTGGCAGACGAAGCACAAGCTTTGATTGACAAGGGAGTTTTTAAACATTCTGAGTGGGTGGAGTTAAAAAATAAAGGCGCTGCGTTTGCGTGGGGTTCTCTTTTCCCATCATTCACTGCTGTTATCAAGAACTGGCACGACGAAGGAGCATATTATGATTATCAGACTGGCGCACCAAAGAAAAACTCACAGGTTGCGTTAAAGTAAAAAATTTTATTTGTACGAAGTGACTAAGCAGTGTCGCTTGAACGCAATACGGAATTACTTTGGTTTTTCGTCAATGTACTCATTTTTTTTCTATTTAGCATTTCAAGTTCATCCAGCTTAGACCTCGGACCTACAAAGGCTCCGAAATGTCTGCTTAACATTCGCTTTCTTGCTTGATTTAGGTGGTGGATCACTTTATGCAAATGATGTGGAAGAAGGCTCGTAAAATAGGCTGTGCGCGTGGCGGTTTGTATGGTGAACCTTGGTATGTGGCTCACTATGATCAGGCTCCAATCTCTCAAAAGCAAAACACTGTGGAGAACATTGAAAGACCAAAACAGGTAATGAAAAATTATTATTGATCGATATCCTCGTGCATAAAATTTACTCTCTATTTTTCATATTATTGGATAAAAAGATTCCGCAAAGTGACGGTGGAATCAGCACGTTAAGGAGATGAGCTAGTTAGGACACGGCACCTATTGCGCAGACCAACAACAAAACCCCGTGCATTGCGCAGTCCTGGGACCGGAAGGAAAAAAAAACAGGGGGGTAGTAAGCTGAGACTTTTGGTCATATCACTATTTATTTACCCAACAGGATGACAGTGAGTGGTTCAAAGATGATTCGCCATTCTCTGAGGAGCTGGCTAACATGCAACATGTCTAAGACAAGAATTTGCCTCTCCGGACTGATCACCCTGGATGATGAATCTTTTGAACTTTGAAACAAAAAAACAAGAAACTATATGTCAATCAAATTCATTATTTTTTCAACCGTTGGATTTACGGTGGAGAGCAGCATGTTCTCTTGATTTACACCAATCGTCCGACATCGTCCTACATCTTATTTGTTGTAATTACGAGGATATGTCATACAAATGTAATAAAGTTCTCTTTTCGTGGATACATGGGAATTATACATTAGTCAAAACAAATCAGTTTTTTTCTAGTCATCAGAATACCATCACTTTCTGAAAGAAAGCAATTATTAAAAGAAACGCATTCCTTAATTGAAATGTATATATGGTAATCACATTTCAGTGGAAATAAATATATTTCCTCATCATAAAATTCGTGCAAGAGTGTAATTTCTGATCGTGTCGTCTGATCGTCCAGGTGAGGAAAGTCCTGGGAACTACTGTTGTCTATAGTAGTTGACTGACGTTTGGAAAACCTCAAAAGAAAAGAGAGTAAAAACCTCAGCGGATGTCACTCAACTGCGACTCTAACATTCTCGAAACGTCAATCGCTACAATCGGCATCAGTCCTTCTCAGGAATACCCTCACCCTTATGACCAGACCACACGTTCAAATTTTACCCCCCCCCCCCCCCCCCAGTTCAAATCACTGAATTACAGTCGAATAATTTCTACAAATCACCATATATCGTTTGTTTCTAAGTTTACGATGTCCATGGTAATATCCGTTTTTCGATGAACAGGATACGTCATTCCAGGGCAATAGGAAACTCTCGCAAAACAGGACGTCAACAGCAACTTGCGATGAAACAAAAGATCCGATTTAGATCAAGAAGAGTTCTCAAGTGTGTATTAAAACTTTGTAAATTTCCTTGTTCGCTGTCCTCCTCGAAACAACGTGGTATTGTTTAAATTTTGTTTAGTCTGAGAGCAAGAACTTCAAAAACAAATGTAGACTTTTCTACTTGGACTGGGCAACGTCTTAACGTGTTACGTTGAAGAGGAGATCTGGCACCACTAAGGAGCGTAAAACATCGAGCTTCTCCCGAAAATTCTTAAGACTACTGCAAGTTCATGTCTAGATCATTACTGTCCTCGCCATTCGCCTCATCACTGTGTTAAGTGTTCACGCAGATGCGTCAGTAGTAACACACAACGTTAATTCACTTACTCCGCTCCCGCACGTTGCATATTTAGGGAAAGTTACTGCGATCACAATATTCGATGCTCGATGTTCTTGGGGATGGCATCCTTAGTTTGCATTTCTTTCCAGTAGGGCGAACTGTCCATGAACCAGTTTAGATCAGGCTAGTTGACGAAGAAGGAATGATTATTACCCAAGTTAATCAGTTGAATGAAGAAACCTAGACTTCAACATAATCATATTTTCCTACTCAACAATGATACCAATGACAAGAACGCCGGGGACGATGACAACGATAACGTAAAGTACATTGATGCTGTTAACAAAAACGACTTCATGATCAAG